AGCACCTTATATTAGACCTGCAGTCAATCACTATTTTTCCTGTTTCACAGACAAGATTTCCCTTTTTCTTCTTTGAAGTTCCAGTGGCAAGTTTGCAGTGTGGAGGAAGGTGCTAGCTAGCAGGGTTTAATGTAAAGTAATTCCTTCTTGGGCATTCTACAATGGCACATTTATTGTCCTAAGCTTACTCACAGATTATGTGTATTTTTACGAATCCAGAAATCAGAAGTTACTCCCAAACACAAGCCAATCCAAGAGGGATGAAAGGTGAGGCAGCTAACCTAAAGCTGTCTGTAGTAGCACCTAGCCCCCAGCAGAAGCTATTAAGTATTAAATAAGCACATAATCCCAATGCAAACTACCTTGAAATTTTATTCATCATATAAAACCTATGAAATCCTCATCTTGGAAATGTGTAGCCCAATTAAAAGGTTTAGAACTGGATAGAATCTACATGGAGAATGGTTTGGATTTGGTTTTATTTTAGGAGGGAGAGGCCTTGGGTGTTCAGGGCCAGAGCACCTACTGGGGCCATTTAGAGCAGTAGCTTCATGACACCATTGTTTACATATACAAAATGTTTGATAGTTCGTGAAACACTTTCATCTCTACTATCTGCTTTAAGCATTAGAATCTTTCACAATCTATTCGATTGTAATGATTTTTTTAAAACTAAAATATTAAAACTCTAAAAAAAATGACAGGAGAACATTGACTCTTTGGTTATTCAAACTGTTTTTCTCCTATTCAAAAATCCAGAAATCTATAGTGAAATTTCAGAGTGTAGTTAAGCTAAATTAAGAACACAAAAAGATTTTTTAGATTAGATTAGATTTCTCAATTAAAGATTTGCCTTAAAGCATGAAGAGATGTATTTAGAGGGCCCAGAAAGAAAATGTGTTGGAGTTGCAAAAGTCTAGCCAGAACCTGACTCCCAGATGGAGGGCATGTGTGTGTCTTCTCAGGCGCGGGGCTGGGTCTCAGCTAGACAGGGCCTGCTGCACAGTTGTTTCCTGAGTTTGTCTCAAACGCCTCCCCAGTCTGGTCCCTGGAGGCTGGAAATGCCTTCCTCGGGATGTAAATGCTAAAACAGAGACTCAGGTGGCACACCAGTTCACAGGAAAGGATA